AGGCAGACACCCACGCGCACAAAGAAAGGGAGGCAGACACCCACGCGCACAAAGAAAGGGAGGCAGACCCTCACGCGCACACACCCACAGAGAGGGGGAGACACGCACACACACCCACAAAGAGGGGGAGACACACACGCACAGTGTATAAGACAAACATATTTTTGTTCTGTGTACACTTGTTAATGTAACTGGATCATGATTAGCTTGAAAACATTTATTTTGTAATATATAATCAAAATTTTATAATTTTTTCTTGTTTTTCTTCCTTGATTTATGTTACATATTTTCAATGGTACAATTGGGAAATTAATGGTGCCATTTAACCATATTTCTTCGTTTTTTGTACATTTGATAGTTTGTTGTATCTTAAGGTTTTTTAAATCCTTTAAAACCTGTTTGATATACATGTAGATAATATTTCAATATTTCAGGGAATACCGAGATGCAGGGAAATGCAACAAGAAAATTCCGAGTTGTGATTCTGCTGCTATACATTAGATTAGCTCATATTTGTGACAATATTTATCTGTACGAAGAGCAGTTATAATTCTCAAATTTGTGTTGATATTTGCTGCAAAATATTTAGTTTTTTCATCTAACTTTGTAGGATTTATAATGATTTTCACAAAAAAGACTGATGTCCACATTCAAAGAGAAATATTTGTATATGCATCTTTATATGACAATTACTGAAGCATCAGGGATATTTCAGGGACTATTTTCAATTGTCTTTCCAAATAATCGTAAAATCCTATTCGAGTTTTGTATTAGCAGCTCATACCGAGCGGTTTATTTTCAGATTCACAAAAAATTTCCATGAAAGAAATTAGAATTTTCGTATTGTACAAAAATCCCTTAGATAATTTAGTTATTAGTGATAAAATTATATATATATATATATATATATATATACATATATATATATATATATAATTTTAACTATATAAGTAAATCATAGTACAGCAGGTAAACCAAGTTTTAAATACGTTCTTACGGTAATGATCACTTTTAAAAACCATTTTCTTTTCAGCCTTTCTAACTACCTTCCTCAGTCATTAACTTCTTTCCCATACGTCACACGTATGTCACCTCTCTCCCCCTTATTAGTTGCTGCCGGCTGTACCTCTTGTGCTGGAGACAACCTCCGCCTGATCCTGAAGTACAGAGTGAAAGGAAAGAAAATCCCAGTCATTGAATAGCACATACCGTCCATCCTTCATTCACGCTGCAACGGAGGACCTTTTCTTTAATAAAATAGCGCAGGTTCAGTTTTTAATAAAATCTCTGGAATTTCGGAAATCGGTACATGTCAAATCATTTTCGACTGCTGCTACATTGCTGCTGTATTGATACTTGAATTTTTCTCTTCTAAAATCCATTATTTGTAGTAAATCTTCGGATCATACCAAGAATGTTTGTTGAAATGAACTGCATGAAAAACAGTTTTCTGGAACAAGTTATTGAAATGATTATTAGTTATATAATTGCTATAATCAATTCCTGCAGTTATATAGAAAAATAATATTATACTTCAGAATTAGTAAACGATGTGACATTAATCCAGCAGTTACCCAGCTGTCACCTCACATGTGACACCTGGTTTGGCAACTCACATTGTAAAAAATAAAAAAAGTTGCTACAAAACAGAAAAAATTACAATAGACGTGAATTTTTAATTTGATTGTATTAGCGTATTTTCAATATTTCACATTGATCCTAAGGCAGATTCGCTACAATAAAACTACCGGAAAAATGAATAATACATCAAAGCAATCATTTCCTATACCACCAGTCTGTCATGATTCTACCACACTTGAAATAACCTCAAAAATTAATTAGCAAATCGCATTCATGCTTGATCTTGTTTACATATAATGCTGAATTTGAATACTGAAACGCTGTTTTGTGTATTTTACAATATTGTAACGAATATTGCATCACCTACCGGGTCGTTGCGCGGATTGCGTCATCTGCCGGCGCCTCCCCTCCCTCCGGAACTGGACGGTTCCAGGCTATTCGCGGGTCGCGTGGTAAGGTTGAGCAAGTGCCGGGTGTGTCGAGACGAGCGCCAGCCAGGTATAAATACGCCGCTGCCGGTGGCCGCGAGAGTAGTAGTCGTAAGAAAGGAGCCGCGAATCAGGTTATGTAATCAGTGCATAAGCAGTCAGTCCATCAGTGTGTCTGAAGTGGAAGCTGAACTGTGAAGTGTGCATCGCGGTAAACAACAGTGCAGTAAACCCTGATCTACGCAGTGAATGGTGGTCAGCGAAGTGGACCGAGGACAGTGTATAGGACTGTGCGATAGTGTACATTGCAGAGAACGGTGTAAATAAATAATCAAAAGAACGGTGTAAGAGTCGTGTGTAAGAAAAATAATTAAGTGAAGAGCACAAGAGCTGTGTAATATACCTGTAAATAGATCAAGTAGTTTTAGTGTATAATTGTTTAAAAATAATAATCTTTGTTAAAATTTTAAATACCTGTGTTTTAATTCACCACCGAAAAACGTTACAATATTAATAAGCCTCACAATGTACAAACAGAACAAATTCCCAGCCAGACGATTTTCTTAATTTTTGATGTCACTGTATTAGCGTATTTCCAATATTTCACATTGATTGTAAGGCAGATTCGTTACAATAAAACTACCACAAAGTAACTAATACATCAAAACAATCATTTCCTATACCCTTAGTCTTTCATGATTCTACTACACTTTTAATATCCTTCAAAATTAATTAGCAAAACGCATCTACACTTGATCTCGTTATATATAATGCTACACAATTTGAATTCTGAAACGCGGTTTTGTGTATTTTACAATATTAATAAGCCTTCAATGTCCAAACTGTACAATTTCCCGACAGAAGATTTTCTTAATTTTTGATGCCACTGGATTCTATCGCCATGTCACATGAATTAGTATCTGATGTATGAAAATTACTAACTACTATTGTTCAATCAGCTAAATCAAGGAAAATCTCCTTTTCGGCCAAAAAACTGAACTAGATAAGATGGCAATGTTTCTGGACTGTGATTAATCCACCTTCGCACTTGGTTACTTGATCCACACGCAAAATACATTAACACTGAATACTCAGCTAGTACTTACAAAGAACCTGAATCTCCAAAGAAAAAAAGCAGATTATACTTCTCTTCCACACGTCACATACAGTTATTTCTGTACTTTGAAGAAAAAATCGAACACTTCTAGCTCTACAACGCACACAGAAAACGCATTAGTTATTTAATGTAGGGAAATCTCTGCTATATTTTGAGGATGCAAAATTGAGCACTTTCCTTGCTTCATTGGGAAATTCTGCATCGTTGGTGTATGCTCGAAATGTCGGCTTTCAATGCGTTCGTGTTGGGTTGATTCCTCCAGCTCTTACACGCTGCACCAAATACAATATTCCTGAAAAAGTAAGTACTGTTCACTGATTCATTAAAATACACTATTGCTAAATATTAAGTATAATAACGTTTCCTTTCATTTAAAAGAATTCTGTGTCGTGGAATACTCTTCTCGACTCCACTCTCTTCAACGGGTCTAGGGTGAAGGGTCTCAGAAGTAAATAAGCTGCCTGAGGGAAAAAAGAACACGTGTCCTATTACGTGCAGGAATCATCCTTGTGTGTCAAAAAGCTCTACTCTGCTCATATTGCATTTCGCTGCTCGGGATGCAGTCTCGCGTTACGTCACACGGATTACAGGCTGCATATAAAACTCCAAATACCCAACAATTATCATACTAAAAATATTGAATTTTACATGACCAAGGTGCTGTACTCCTTTTATATTGTAAAATAATCCTGGAAGGCTGAATTACTGACATAGCCAATCGCGATATGCGTGTACAATACTTCTGGCTTTGGATATATGAATACCTGAATACAATATACCTGAAAAAATATCAAACAAGTACATTTCGGTAATAGAATCGGAATGGCAAAATTCAAACAATGTTAGGGCATCGAAATACATGTCTGTACATTCATAAAAATCACGCAGTGGTGAATTTTATCAAAATTGGGTTTTCAATGCATATAAATATTGTGTCTCCATTCTTTCATGCATGTAGTACAGGCTAGTACCTTAATTGGAGAAAAACTTTGTAAACTGTAAGTAATTATTCATGATAGTGGTATTTTTCCGGAAGGGCATTAATATTCACTTTCTGAAACAAAAACATTCACAGAAATTTAAATAGCTGTAAATAAGGATTTTAATTTAGTACCAAACTAGGTTCTATGTTCATTATTTACATTTACCTATTATTGATTAGTTTCTTACATAGATATGCATTTGCCATGGGAGCTAGAGATTTATTCATGTAATTTATAGAGGTAAATATAGGGTGTGGAATCAACCACTTAGGACAATATGTTCGGAAATAACATAGTATATACTTAAGATCTGTTTAAATTCTTATCAACTCTTTGAAATAAATTTATTTTCATTAATTCAGATGTATAGATACATTTAATTTATCCACAGAGTTAAATTGTTCGATAGTTTTTAGGAACAAAAAATATTTTAGCGGGACGTTCACTCAGCTTCAAATTTGTGGCGAGCATCAAATAGCTTGCGCTATTTCATTTTCTCGTATACGTAGTACAGAGAAAGTCTTGTAATGCTGCGGGAAAATATATTTCGAGATTTTAACGGAGTGCACATTTTGGGGTCCATTCTTACTGAAATTATATTTGGAAACCTTCTGTCCTTGTGCCTGAACACACAACTATTTGAAGAACTTTCTCCAAAATTAATATTCCCGTATCGATCTAGCCCAACAGGAAGCCCTGCGATTTTGAAACTGTCATAGGTAGAAGAGTTTCAAATTATTTCCAATGAATGAATGAATGAATGAATGAATACTTATAAACTGCTCTGTGAAAAAGAGCTTAAAATTGCAGATGTTCAGGAACGCTCAAAAATGTTTTCTCAAAAACGCCCCAAACTTATGAACGGAACGCAGTTTATAACTGTTTTTGACGTAAATAAATAAATACACGAGGACAAAAATTTTCACTGCACATTTTCTGGGCATCTTCAGCATATTCCTTATGTCAGTGACATGAAAGCTCCCGTACACGTATGCATTCTGCTGTACCAATGATTTGGAGAAAGCAACAGGATCATTTAAATGACTGCTATATTCGTGCCACCGAAATAGTGTATTTCTCTACTAAGAGCACGTGGTAGCTAGAAAAGGGAAAGTAGAAAGAAAAGAGGCCCGTTATTCCAGGAATTGCAGAAGTGAATTCTGCGTACTTTAATCTATATCCAAGAACATTTTCATGATTTTACCTCTATTCGTAATGTTGGTAGAGCAATATTCCATTACATGAAGAGAGTTCTCCAGAATATTTCACTTCAACCTGCCATTCAAGTTGTTCTTAATCCGGCAAAAGTTACAGTTATTCAGGACTTATATGGATACTTAAATAAAGAGAGCGAAAATTTTACCAAATTGTTTTTGAGAAATGTTGTTCTCGAGAAATGTTCACTGGAAATGTCATAATAGTGAGTACGAATCTGATGGCTTACAATATGAATTGTGAAATAAAAAAATACGTAATAAACTGCATTATGATTTGTATTATCAGTTTATAATAAAAGCAAAAAAGTAATAATATAAATATATAAAGTGTTCTCCAGAAGAAGCACCTATTTTTGTCCTTTCTCCATGTGTTTGAAATTAAGGAAAAGTAATACGTTCTAAATGAAGTTCAAAAATAATTAAAATGTATTAAAATAATGTGTAATTTGCTACTAAATAGAGAAGTGTAGAATATAATGATCAAAACATAGCAAAATCTCGAGTTATCCCTGTAACCCAACATACAAGAATATATTCTCCTCAAGATATTCAGTTCAATACCAAAAAAAATAAT